GAATATTTTGAAAATAATGAGAGTACAGCCAACTCGTGCTCCACTGAATGGGCTGCTAGCAAAGCTTTCATCTGGGGTTGAATTATTGCTCATGCTTCTCATAAAAATAAATGTAAAAAGTATCACCACATAGCGCTAAGTGATAGGCTGAAAACTCTTAGAAGTCAGTTTGACATCTCTCCAAATCTGCAACTCCATCAAGAGTTGCAACAAGTTAAATATGAGTTGGAAACGTTTTTTCATGGCAGGTAGAATTTGCAGTATCTTGTTTAAGACAGATGTATTGGGAGAATGGTAAATGTTCTGGCAAAATATTGGTAAATTGCCTTGACAACAAAAACATTGAATGATTATCTCAGCAATAAAAGACAACAGAGGCAAGGTATATACCCATTTTAAAACTATAAAACTTCAAATTTATTTTTTTTAAATTGTACAGTAATATCTGTGAAAAATCCAATCACAATATTCATTTTTTTAGTTTAATTTCCCCTGTCTAGCTATATTTCAAGGCAGTTTTTAATGTTGCCTTTGCAGATCAATGCAATTACTAAAGCAATAACTAATAATTACAGAATAACTAAAGCAATTATAAATTCCTTAACAGACAGAGGTAATACCCTCTGTGCTCATTATTGACTTATTTCATTGATTTCACTTGATATTAAAATGTTAACTAAAACTTTGGCTGACAGACAACAAGTTATTGCAATGTTAGTCCACCCAGAGCAAGTTGAATTTAAAAATTAAAAACAGGCAAGGAACTGATGCTCTTAGATTGTTTGTTGATCTCCTTGCATTAAAGACAGAAAGGAGACAGAGCTGCTATTAACAACTTTGATGTAGAGAAGGCCTCTGATGACATTTATTGGAAATTTATCTTTGCCAGATTGAGTTATTTTAGTTTTCCTCCAAAATTTCAGAAATGAGTTAACATTTCTATGCAAAACTCCTAGAATCAGGGAGCAAATGCGAAACACTGTCTCCAGTGAGAATGGAATAATGAAGTAGGACACCTCACATTGTTCACCAATGGAGAACATCAGTGCCAGACTTCTGCCTGATCTTCTCCCAGACTTATCCTCATGGACGGATCTTCAGCAGGCAGACAGGAATCGCTGGCACTTTCCACTTCCTCTCCTCCTCCACTCTTGGGACTCTCTGAAGTGGTGCTCACTCACTGCAGCTTTGCCCAGCTGTGATGGCAAAGGGTTCCCACAACGCTTGTGAGGGCTTGGCCTTCCTCCTGTGAGCAAACAATCATGGGCCTTAATTAGACTAATCGGATCTGTGGCTTAACTTATAACTTCTCCACAGTTCAGTTCATTTAGCTGAGGAATTGGTGACCTTTTGGTCTGTTTTACTAATGTCGCTAAGCGTGATCGGCAGAGCAATTTACTTCCTGGTGTTGCGCAGGGTAAGAACAAAGCCCTGGCAGAAACAGATCCTCGTTTCTTAAACGCTTTGGAACCTGAAGCCAAAGACTCGGCTTCCTAGACCAGTCTATTAAATCAAGTGCCTCTTCTTTTCTTTGCCCTTTCTTAGCTGTGTTCTCTGTCTCATAGGCTCTGCCCCCTTTCCCCAGGCTTCCTAGGTACTTGGGGTTTTGTTTTTGTTTTGGAATGCATCACAGCCTTGCATCTTTTTCAGCAACCTTTTTTGCACCTTTCTTTCAGCATCCCTGCCCTTTTAGTTGGTCTGTTTTCTGGGATCTCTTTCCACGGCTCACAAAAGTACGTTGAACCTCGGCCTTGTGTGAAGGTTGAACCCCAGGCAAACCGGCAGCTTTCACTTTCCGTGCAGAAGCTGTATCACTTGGAATGTTTGACTCCTCTCAGCTCAGCCAATCAGAATCTCAGACTCTGCCACAGCTGGGGATGGGCAGATCCAAGGACAGCCAGGTTAGGCCATCCCCACCTCAAGCTTCATGGCACTTGATGGCTTCATAGTGATGTTGCCATAATTAGCACAGCCACATAAGAAGCTGCCTTGCCTCAAGTCAACCCTTGCTCAATCTAGCTCAATATGGCCTGGCATTGACCTTATGTTCTGTATGCTGGACATGGTCCCACCTGGAGATGCTAGGGATCAAGGCTGGGACCTTCTGCATGCAGACTCTACAACTCCGCTGCAGCTTTACCTCTGTGAAAGTTTTTCCCCAGGCATCTGTTCACCTAAGCAGAAAGTCAAGCTGTGGTGACTTAAAACTCGGTGCCAATTATCCTTGGAGACCATTTAAATTTTGAGAATGCGGCGTGCTCAGAGTCTGCAAACTTAGCCTGATATTAGCTATGTATCTGCCTTACCTTCTGGGTCTTAAACCTTGGCAAGCAGCAGAGGGAGAAAAAGAAGACGTTAATCCCCAGTCCTTCTGGGCGTTGGATTACAGTTCTGCCTCGCTTCTCCGAGCGGGGAGCGTATTTCCGTTAACAATGGCGGAACTGGCGAGGGACGTTTAATCCAGCTCTGCTTCTTCATGGGCTTGCTGAAAAGGGGTATGAGCAAACAAATCACTGGCCTGAGTTTAAATTTAGTTTTTATTTAAACAGAGTTAATTATAAGCTTCTAGTTAAGTTTCGAGTGATGCCTTCTTATCGTACGCTTATTATGGCAGAGGAAATTAATTTTTTTTTATTCTGTGGGAGAAGGGAAGGCAGTAATCTGGGTTCAGGGGAGGGATTGCTTTAATAAGATTTATAAGTGGTATATTTTTAAAAATAGAAGGGGGGGGCTTGCTTTCTGAAAGTAGCTTTCCCCACCATGGTTGTCTGTCTGGATGGGGAAGGAGACCTGTATGTCTGCTTCCTCACTGTCATGGCTGGACACAGTGCTGTCTCTCCATGTCTGTCGTTCAGGGTCATTTGCTAAAGAATGGAAAGGACTGATATGCATCAGGTGCCATGCCTGAGGAGTGTGAATTAGCTCTGATGTCTGCTGCCATTCATGCTCTCCCAGCCTCACTGATAAGGGCAAAGCTTGTCATAACCAAGAAGCAGAGAGTCTGAAGGAATCGTGTCTTGAACTTCACAGAGCATAATCCAGGAGAGGAGTTGGACTAAGGGGCCATATCTTGGTGATATCGCATATACTTTGCCAGCAAAAAACCTGAATTCCATTAATCTAGGGCTTGAATTCACAGAAGCAGTAAATCCAACATATGGAGACTTCCCAAGGTGCATTGAGCCAGGCTGGTTGAAGTCAAATCAAGCAAAACCTAGTCAATGCAGGTCTTTGAAAGCCAGATTCAGGACCCTGGACTGCGATCAGCTGGCTCTCCTGGCTCAGGTCTGAGGAGCTGTTGTCTCCACAGAGAACTCAGGCCAGCTGAAGCCTTCTGGAAGCTGGCAAGGTCTCAGGTCTGGCTGCTTGAAGGAGTTGGCTGTGCTGTTGGCCCTCAGTATTTCCTCAAACACTGGCTTCTGTGGTGCATGGGGACATTAGCTATAGCTCATCTTTTGAGAAATGTTTTGGGCTATGTCCTTTGGCTAGGAGGCCCCCGGGGATGTGTGGAAAGTTCTTTGCTGAGTGCAGACTCTTGCAAATCCTTCTCACAGGTATGTTCCTCAGGTTAGAGGTGTGGTTTGTCAGTCATGTGGCCTCTTGGTGTGCCTGAAAGGGCCAAGCATCTAGGGCCAAGTGTGATAAGATTTCAGCTGGGCTGGAGAGTTTGAGCCCTGTGTTTGCTCGCTCCCTCCCTCCTCCAGCCGTTGGTTTTACTGGGCAAAGAAAGAAGGAACCCCTCCAACTAGCTGTCATCTCCCGCACAAGGCAGCCCAGCCTCAAAAACGGGGTGTGTGTGGGCTGCACCCCCTTGGAATAGGACGCCATCGTCATGAGAGCCAGCCCCTTTTCGGGGAGCTTGTCACAGAGCACCGGAAACAACCACCACGGAGCAGCTAAAAGTGGCAGGCTGGAAGTTTCTCCTGTCAAGCTCAGGAAGGCTTTTTGTTCTCATCCACACGCTGCTGCTGTGAAGTGTCACACGGGGGAAAAGATGCTGGCAAAATATCTAAGGACACGGATGTGGCTTGCATGCATTTTTCATAGCCACATGAGCATTGGCAGAGATAAGCAGGCGAGAGCGAGAACAAAACTTCTGCTGGGGGAAGGGGGCGTGCACTGTTCCGAGCGTAAGGGCGACACGCTTTCAGGCTGAGTGACCTGGAGCGTGGAGGATCCTCTGGGGCAAACCGGCCCCATCGTTTCTGGTCTCCCACTGACAAAGTGCGGGCAGGGTGGCTGCAGATGATCAGTCGCGTCATGAGCAGCATCAGCCTCTGACTGCTGTTAATTATTGTCTTTGTTGTGATGATGACCCATTAAAGAAATACTCATGGATAATTATTTTTCATCGATCTATTCTGCATGCCCTTGCAGAATATAATAGTTCTGAAGGAAAAAAGAAGGCTTGCACTTGTCTTTCTATACTCTGTCACCACAAAAGAGATTCTGAGAGGAGAATGATTTCACCAAGGGGCCTGACAGCTTTTCTATAACTTAGGAACTTGGGCAACAGAACAAAGATGCTTGCTTGGCGATTAGTTGGGGATACCTTTGTAGATGATTAAGAAGGGACTGAACTGCTCGATCAAGCTGATGCATTGATTGGGAAGGCGCAGCGCTCTCGCAATTCTAAGAAGGATTGCTCCTCAGGAGTGTGCGTGGCAAGCTGGAGGAGCGAGGTAGAACTTCTGGCCTGGGGTTCCAATTCGGTATGCCTGTGATCCTCAGATTGCCTCCTCCCCTTCCTCTCGGCCTGCTCCCCTTCCTCACCCAACAATCGAGTGCTTTTCTTTATTCTGAAAGGATGAAATGTCATTGCTAAGGCTTTGCTGGAGCCTGTAGTATGAGCAGAAAGACAGGTCTCTACTCCTTGGGGCTTAGCATCTGAATTTTGAGAAGAAGCAAGGAGGGAAAGGGCAGGAAGGGCCCTGACTCAAAGAGAAGTGAGACTGGCATGCGCAAAGATCTTAACTGTCTCCCGTGAAAGGAAGAGAGCGATGGGCCACTCTCTCTCCGTCCCTTACTGCATTCTTACGCCAGTGCCCCGGATGCTTGGTGAGCTTCATGGCAGGCAGCAGGAGACTGGCTTGAGCTGCCCATACTCTGGCAACCTGCGAGTTAGAGTTCTGCAGTCTGGCCCAGCTGGGGCTGCCCTTGAAGGCAGTTCAGGAATTGCAGCGTGTGCAAAATAGGGTAGCCAGATTGATAACAGGACACAAAGATCAGGACATGTCATACTTATCCTTGCTAGTTGGAACGGGCTGTCTATAAGTTTCTGATCCTGATTCAAGATACTAATTTTGACCTATGAACTCTTATGTGGCTTGGGACTGCAGTACCTGAAAGAGAACCTGTCTTGGCCTAGACCTGTCTGTGTGCGCCGCCGATTATCTAAAGCCAGGTGGCTCATCTAAGGGAAGTTTGGGAAGTAGCAACAAGGGGGAGGGCCTTCTTGGTGGCGGCCCATGATTCTGAACCCCTAGTGAGGTCCATCTTGTGCCGACACTGTTATCTTTCCAGTGCCAGTTTAAGACCTTCCTCTACTCCTAAGTATTCGGAAGTGCATGATAGGTCTTTAGGCAGATCGTGGGATTTGGATGCATGTGTTTGCTCTATTTATATCTCTTTAGCCAGGCTGTATTTTAAAGATTTTGAAACTTCGTAAACCACACCGAGAACGTTGGATATTGGGCAGTGCTGAAGAGTAACACACGAAATGAAAGCTTTGAAAAAATGGAATGGTTTCTAGGGCAGGGGCTTTGAACTTAATGCACCGGAGCCAGTGTCAGGTCGCTTAGCGTTGCAAAATACCAGCCCCCCACTTTTGCCTAAAGTGACCACTGCCGATCGCTTGGCTGGACCAATCTTGGGCCATTTAGAATGGGAACTCCCCCCCCCCACTGCAAATGCTGGGAAACCAGCTTTGATTCTGAGAACAGGGGTCTGTCCTGAGGCCCAACACCCCTGAAGGAATGAGTGCAGCGTTGGATGGAGATGTTGGGATTGGATGGCCCCAAGGCACCCTCTGCTGAAATAGCCGAAGCAGCAGTATTAACCCTCCGAAGCTTCCCCTCCAGGAGCTCTACAGATGTTTTGAGCCCTGAGTCCCACAGTTCCTGACCATTGGCCATGCTGGTTGGGGTTGATGGGAGCTGAAGTCCCAAACATCTAGAAGGCATCAGTTTGATCTAGAGCAACAGGCTCTGTGAAAGGCATTTGTATCAAAAAATAGGGCGGGGGAAGTAGAACTTCTTTTGAGTTCCTTCTCATTAGTACGTCCAAGAAAACCATGTCTTAAAGTAGGGGTGGACATATGGAAGGTTGGTTTGTGTAGGTTTGATAGAACAGAACACAGAAAAGGGTTTAAATAAGATGTAGGTAATGTCATTGAAAATAAATGCAATTGAAAATAAATGGGCTGGATTCATATATATATAGATAGATAGATAGATAGATAGATATAGATATATATATATGAGAGAGAGAATGAGATTGGAGCCAAATCACAATGACAGATCTAACAAGCAATTTGGCACAGAAAGCTGAAGAATGTCAGTTTAATAAAATAAAAGCAAAGCGTTCTTGAATGCAGCTCGAATATTATGTTGGCTTTTCTCTCTGCTAAGTATTTGCAGGCACTGTCTGAGTCATCCTTGCTTGTAACAGGTGCCATCGGAGTCTTAATTGTTTCAGGGGATGGAGCAGCATACATCATCTCTCCCCAATAATGATGAGTATTAAATTGGCACTTTGAGATTTAGAAGCAGACAATACTAAGTTTGACCTTAATCTGTCGATGTGCCTCTGTTATTGCTCCGCAATATGGGATTGCTTTAAAAAAAAAAAAATCAGCTGGCTTCTGAACATTTCTGGTTCAAATCCCCGGGGATTAGCAGTGACAGGAGTCTGATGACTGTGCTGGAGAGCTGGATGCATTTGCTCCCATGGACTGGCTCTAGACCACTGCTTTGTAGGGTTCCTGTTGAGTTGGAACAAGCAAGCGGGAGGGCAATTCCTTCTCCCCATCATGAGCCCCCTTGAAGATGGTGCTGCAGGGTTGGGGGCCCTCTGGGACAAGGTGTGAGGTGCCGCTTGGGGCTGCAGGGAAGTAGAGAGGTTCCTCCAGTCCAATGCACTGTGAGTCCTCACAGCTTTTGCTTGTCTTTTTGTTCATGGTGGGCGAAGGTCAAGGGCGCAGTGGCCAGTGTGGACTTGCAGGTGCTCATTGCGTGTGCCTGGGTTTGGCACGGGGCTCCTCTTCTCAGGTGGCCTCATGCCTTTCTTGCAGAGACAGTATGCTTTGCCCCGGGGAACCTTCCCAGTGCTCTGCGTATGCTCGGCAACATTGGGCATGCCACTCCTTCGGATGGGCCCCCGTGGGGATTAAGAAACCATGCTCTTAGTTACGTTTCCCCTCCTTCCCTGTCTGTTGGTTGCAGTGGTGGAGTGCCGAGGAGGCGTCGCAGACAGTGTGCCACGATTTGCGAGCTTACCCGTATACCTCCCCGTGAGTTACCGCACCTCCAATGCCGACGTGTCCTTCTTCCTGAAAGAAACCAACCAGGATATCATGAAGAACACAAGCTTGCAGTCCCGCACAGAGCCTCTTCTTGTGTATAAGGCCACCGGCTTGCCAGTATTAAATGCAACGTATGGCCCATTTACTGTGGAGCAAATGGTGCCCCCTCACCTCTTGCAGACATCGGTGCTGCCCAGTTTTGCAGACCGGTTCACTTTCAACTGGAAGTTACAGTCACGTATCATTGACAGTTCCATATATTCCAATAGGCCGAAGGTGCAAGTTTTGTTCTACATTGCCGGCAAAGACTGGGAAGACTACGATCCCGCTGAGATCCTGCCCTGTGTGCGGATGATGGCCTTCAAGGAGGAGCAGGTGGCAGTTGGCAGTTGTCGACTGAAAGGTCATCTGGGGTTATGTGTTGCAGAGGTAGAGTTTTCGCCCAACTGGTTCGATTCTGCATTGACTTCCCCACAGCCACTGCTGGCTGTGCAGGAGCATCAGGCAGTAGATTCCTTGGAAGGGATCCCTGTGGAACTTTTCTATTGGGTGTATGCAGTGGAAGGGGAGTGTTCTTCCGAAGGCCCAAACCTGGAAGGTTTTCTTCACCCGGAGGGCCAAGAGGAGACGCAGATGCCTTTGGTGTCCATGGAGAGGATTGGGAATGTTATTCTGTACCCAACTCAAGACAAGCTCAAGAAGTCCTTCCTGAATCTTGATGGGAACCTTGTCATCTGCCTGCCACTCAGTCCGGTCAAGGAAGGAGACCTTGTCATGTTCCTCGTGTCTCTCACCAGCGGCTCTCTCGCAGATCAGTTTACGCTAAGGTAAGTGTTGCTACTGCTGAGTTTCTGTTTTGGTCCTTCGTAGGAAAAGGGAAGAGTAGAAGATGGGAGCCCATTACAAACAACCAGCCTGGGGGGAACCTGCTTGGTTGGCTGCTTCATCCCTTGGTGTCACCACAAGCGCTTGTGGTGGGTGACCGCGGACCCTGATCCATGTCTCCAGTAAATTTCAGATGCAGCTGGGAGCAGGCTCTTGCTGGAGGTTTTCAGCACTCCATGCTCCTTCCCGGCTTATAAAAACCTAAAGGTTTCTTCCTCACTGGCTGGCTATGCAGAAATGTGTGCACACGTATGCTAGACTTTGGGTTCTGTCACACTCAGGCACACCCAAGAAGTGGGAGGGAAGGTGGGGGCACTGAGGAAGAGGTGCAGATATGGGATTGAGGGGCTGGAACTGGTTCAGTTTTGAGGGGATCCTGCTGAGTCATAAGTGATGAAGGGGAAAAACTTCATCCTTTATGACTCGACAGGAAACAAGGGGAAATCCTTTCCTGGACCAGGGGAATACTATTGGCAGGCTTAGCTTCCCCCTCAATGGTCTACTCCAGTTTGCTCCAACCTGGCTTCTTCAAGATGTGCTAGACTGCATGCCCTTCACTCCCAAGCCAGCAGCAGCTGGCTGGGGATGGTGGGAGCTGTAGTGGAAAACAACTGGAGGTTGCTAGGCTGAGAGAAATCTTTTACTTTCTCCCACACAGCCTAAATAAAATTGTACTGATTTCAGTCTGTGTGCGTGCCATAAAAGATGTAATTTTATTATATCCAAACAACCAAAGCAAAATTGAGCAGAATATATTCACTCACATAATGCAACTTAACGATGGAGTTTCTCAATATATAAATAAAATGCATGCATGTGTGGGTGTTACACTTAGTTAAGATGCCTGGCTTCAGCTTCTTTTAATATCTGCAACCTTGCTTTACCGGCAACAGTGAGAAATGGCACGGCGCACCTGCAACCTTGGTGTTACCGCCTGACCTGGGGGAGCCTGTGCATTACTGCACTGGAAAGGCTGTAAAAAGGAAAAAACCCAAAAAATCAGAAGTAGAATTTCCCCTTCATTTGTCCAAATGTCTCCCTCTGCCCCCCTCCCCCTGCCATTGACCAGCTCTTCACATCTCTAAACTTGCCTTTCCCAGTTTTTGACTTCATGGGATGACCCTGATTCTAATATAGCTTCCCCCATCCACTTTCTTCACCCCACGCATAATGTCGTGCCCCCCTCCCATCTGGATCCCTTCCTTGCTTTTGCCCCCTCTGCACAGCATCAGATGCTGCCAAGAGCCCTTTAGAGCGGCTGTGCTCCAACACAGAACCAGCAAGTGCTTTCCCACGAGGGTTTTCAAATGTCGGCACGCCTGCTCAGGAGAACGTATTCAATGCAAAGCTTATACATTTAGCACAGGATTACACAGAGGGAAATAAAAATCACAGTTGCTCCGGCATGTATTGCCTACAAGTTTCCTTACAGGTTCACCTTACTTTTCTTTAGTCCATGAGTCATGTCCATAAAGATGCAGGAGGTACTTTACAGACAGAATTTCTCTGTCTTTCAGCTGGATAGATATGCAGCTGTATGTTTGCCCCGGGAGATCAGGTCTTTCCTTTCCTGTGAATAACTGATTGTTTTTAATCAAGCTGCTTGTATGAGTGGAGTGGAATATCCCGTTCCAGGGAGCACCAAGGTTAGAGGTCAAAACAGAGGTTGGATGAGTCTGGCATTTCTCTGTCATTTGAATGTGATCACTTAGCCCCATTCTGTATATTTTTTTGGAGTGAGGCAGCTGATGGCCACACTGTGGCTCAGGAGCTGCCAAAATAAGTAGAGAAAAAGCAACGGCAGTTCTGTTATGCACGAAGGGAAAAAAATCCATATTGCAGAACTAGCAAACCTCAAGCCAGCGACAGGGGCAAGGCCCCCTTTCCTTTGCTCCAGTTTACCTCACAGTGGCCTGGTAGGTAGGTTAGGCTGAGAGCCTGTGCATGGCCCAAAGCCACCCAGTTTGCTCCATGTTTTAGGCCTGGCCTAACATTCCCACCGTGGCACCAAGCCAGCTTTTTAACCATAGGCTTTTCTTGTCATTGCTGCTCTTGATTTGCTTTAGAAGGGGTTGTTTTAAGCCAAGGTTTCATGCATGGTACTTGGTGTCTTATTTATTTCATTTCACTTCATTTCTATACCACCCTACTGCCAAAGTTCCCTGCATAGTTCACACACGTCATAAAAACAGGTGATAAAAATATGATAAAAATGTTAGAAAATCAGAAAAAAATAAAACATTTAAAACATCTTACAGCAGATATAAAAACAGACAATAACAAGGCATAACGAAGAAGAGTGGACTTCCCTTGGAGTTGGCCCTTGGAGGAAGACCCCAGAGGTTGAGCAGAGCATCCAGGTTTATTACAGTTGGGAGAGGCACTGATAGGTATTGTAGTCCTAAGCCATGGAAGGCATTATTCTTTTTCCTGTACTCTTGGCAAGAGCAGTTTTGGGGACCAGACTGAAGATGCAACAGTATGGCATTCTTTGACTTGCATGAAGGCAATTTCCATGCCCTCTGTCATGTGCCTGCTCGGAACGGGTCTGGCAGGAGAAAATCTCCTCCTGGCATGGAGATGTGCCTGGCATCAAAGAGGTCAGTCCTCTCTGTGAAGCTGTCTTCCGGTCGCAGAGCGGACCAGTTTAGAGTCAAAGGGGCAGCCTGGGGCAGCGTCACCCAGCTTGAGCCCCTCAAAATGTGTTGGGTGGAGGCCCTTTCCCAGGTCTGGCAAGCAGAGTGGGCGGGCAGGCATTCTGCAGGAATGTTACCCCAGCAGTGCTTCCATTGAGCTTCTCAGTCGGTTCCAGATGCTCTGAAATGCAGCCCAGCTTCCCCGGCCCTGCAGCTGGAGCCTGTAGGAGTTGCAACACAATGCAGTGCTACAAAGGGGCACCCGCTGCTCTGACCTTAAGAAGAAGAGGCGGCAACGCCTCCCACACACGCCGGAGTTCTGGTGGTGTGTTTGCGGCAGATGTCAGTCTTTCCTCTTAGTGATAGGGCCTCACTCAGTATTCTTCTCTTGTATCAGTTGCTCCCTTTGCCCTTCTGCTTGGAGCTCTTGGAAAAAACCCCCACTTCTGTCATAAATAAATACTTATAAAAACAAATCTGCTTTAAAAACACACATGCCCCCAAACATTCAACTTGCTGCATGCATGGGAAGGGAAGCTTTGAAAAAACATCAACTGTTGCTTTCAGTGGCATGGATGCTGCAACCGCCCTGCTGCACCGCTGGCTGCTGGACAATGTAGTCAGCAGCCTGAGGATTTTTGGCTTTCATTAACAAAAAAGAAAAGACATGCTTTGTTAGGGGTCTGAGAAAGCCAACAATGGGTGAAAATCTGCTGAATTTCCTCAACTCAGCATGGCCAGTGGTCAGGAAAAATGGGCATCGTGGGCAGAGGCTTCTGGAGTGCACCAACTCTATGATGCCTTTCAGAAAACAAGTGCTCAGGATTTCTAGCTATTCTCCCAGGTAAGCTGGAATCTCAGCGAGGGCAAGAAGATCATTTGAGGCCCTTCAGCACCATGGACAGGGATATACAAGCCACGCTGCTTCCTTTCCCAACCCTGGTGCCTTCCAGATGTTTCCACTCTTATAGCCCAACCAGCATGGACTATGACCAGGCATGCTGGGAATTGTCGGCAAAAGCATCTGATGGGCGGTGCCAGGTTGAGGAAGACCTTTTTAGTTCCTAAGGCTGTTAAGGTAAATGTCGGAAAGGAAAGGTGTGAGATAAAATTCCGTAAAACTTCAGGAGGCCATTGGGAGGTTCAGAAAGGTCTCCAGCTAAGTGCTTCTCTCCCAGATGTAGGGAATGTAGTTGTGATGGTGAAGCCATGCAGGTTGGCATTGGAGGGGAATCATACACTTAAAGGGTTGGGGCTGCTATATCTCAGTGGCTTGCAAAGGGAAAGTTTTGGTGCTGACTAAGGAGAGGCAGCCGAAAATGTTCAATCATTCTCCAGTGAAGAAAGCTTATTTCCCCCTTTTGCATTCTTTTCCCTATTCTCCCTCCCTCTCCTGCTTGTATAATAGGAATAATCTATGGCATTGTAGCAGTTTCTCAATAAATGGCTTTTAAGATTGATTAATGGCTGAAGCAAAGCAGAGGCCCTGAATCAATCTCAGCAGACATTTATTGCTTTGCTATGCCGCAAAAGTGGGCAGTGGGGATTATGTCTTAATTCACCGGTGTGCATGTGAGCCATCAGAATGCACAAGTTGGAGGGGGAAAGGTACAGCACACAGAACAACTCTCAGAAAGTCTGTCCAGCAAAGCTCTGGCAGCAGCCTTCCCCAATCTGCCACCCTCCAGATGTTTGGGAGCAGAACTCCCAGCATGCTTGGCCATCAGCCATGATGACTGGAGCGGAAGTCCAGGGGTCGCAGTCTGAAATACCTGGAAGGGTGGGGAATGGGTGCTTTAGCAGCTGCACAACCCCATGGTAAGCCCTGCAGTATACGAACAGTATGGGGCTGTCTTCTGTGTGACAAGCCTTCCTGAGTTTGAAAAGGGCTATCCCATCCCCACCCTGTCTTCTCATCTCGAGGCCAGGCACACCAGTGCCTCCAATCATTCTGCACAGGGCTGAGCTTCCAGACCCTGAGCGTCTCTGTTCTCCTTTTCTGGAAGCAGCCCAGTGTTCCGAATCCTTCTGAAAGCGGGGTGACCGATGAGCCGTGGGAGCAGCAGGCACTGCATGCAGACAACGCCAAGGCACTGTGGGCAAAAGGCAGTTGCGTTTGTGTCCTGCTCATGGGTTTCCCCTGAGCATCTGTTGGTCCGCTGGGAAGAGGAAGCTGGACTGGGTGGACCATGCTTCCCAGGTTCAGGGCAGATCGTCCACTGGGGGACGTACAGCGTGGGGGTGGGGGTGGGGGGGATCAAGGCCAGCAGTGAGCAGAGCCAGAGATCCTTTCCTCCTCTTCCTCC